CACTCTGTTGCCCAGGCTGGAATGCAGTGACACCACCTTGGCTCACTGCAGTCTTGACATCCGGGCTCAAATGGTCTTCCCTCCTCAGCCTTCCAGGTAGCTGGGACTACCGGTGTGTGCCACCATGCCTGGCTAATTTTTGTAAATTTTCTTTTTCTTTCTTTTTTTTTTTTTTTGTGTAGAGATGTAGGGTTCTGCTATGTTGTCCAGAATGGTCTCAGACTCCTGGGCTCAAGCTATCCGCCTGCCTCAGCCTCCCAAAATACTTTTGTAAATGTAATAAAAGGGGGAAAACGAAGTAATAGAGACCTCTGATGATTCTCACTATTTGTCTTTGTAATAAGATATTTAAAAAAGAATGTGTAGCAAACAAAAGAAAATAACAATTCTGCTAAATAAATCTCTGCTCTCCCTGACCTCTGCCATACTTTTGAACACGTATGGGGATTTTCTGTAGCGTTCTCTTCCCCTGTGCACACCGCTTAAAAAAAAACATGCTCCCGAGTTTCTACCAGTCGTTCTTCTAGAAAACAATTTTAAATGACCCTAGGTTCAAGTTTTTATTAATTCTGCAAATACTTACTGAGCATTACTAAGTGTTGGTTTCTGTGCTTCATGTAACGAGTTGACTACTATGTGCAGAATGTGGTCAGAAAGGCAAAAACATACTGATAGAGTTGACAGTATGAAGAGAAGAAGGTAGACCTCAGGCAGGGGATATTACTTGAGCAGGGCCTAGAAGGGTGAGCAGATGGTTGGTAGACAGAGTGTGGCTCATGCTGAATGACCTCGGCAGGGTTTGGGGGAATGGGCAGGTGTTAGGTACCTTTGAGGACCAGCAGGTTGTCCAATGTGGCTGAAAAACCACAAGCACAGTGATCCAGGAGGAGTCCCAAGTTGGTATAAGTTAAACAGAACTTTTAGCTTTTCTTTTTTTTTTTTTTTTTTTTTGGTAGTTGAGTAGTAGAGAGCCACTTAAGGTTTTTAAGCTGGAGAGTAACTCAGTAAGATTGGAAATTAGGAATATTTGCCTTGGCTGCTTTGAGAAACACAGGAAGAGACCAAAGTAGTAGTTAAGTGAGAAGAAAGAAATTTTCAGCTCAGGGAGATGGCAGGTAGGGAAGGGAATGAAAAAACATGAGCCAAATTTATGGAATTTGGCTGTATTAGGGATAGTATACCAGAAAGAATCAAAGTTTATGTGTGTTTATCAACTGAAAATGTAATTGACTTTGTTGAGTCCAACCTGCACCCGGAATTGAATATCTGGTAATGGAAAGATGCTGATTTTGCAAGGTTCTGTGAGGGCCTGTGTAGCCTTCTCTGTCTCTGCATACCCTGTTCCCCAGTTTCTGACACCACACTCAATAAATGTTCGTGGAAGGAGTGAATTTGGTGGATTTCGTTGAATGGCATAAGTGAGTTTACCATTGGGACAGAACCATCAGATGATTTAGGGAGGATCAAGCTAACCTGGATTTGAATCCTGACTTGGCAATTCCTAGCTCAGCAATCTTGAGCAAGTAACTGAATCTTTTGGTTTCCTCATCTGCAAGGTGAAGGATAACACTATCTCTTGGGATATAATATGATTATTCCTTATCAACTGAATGAATGAATGCACGCACATAAAATATTTAACCTAGCATCTGGTATATATCTGAGATAAATGCTCCTCAGGCATTGGCTGTTGTTACTTATGGGGAGTGTGGATGTCAGCTTGTGATTGGCAGAAAAGTATTGATGAGTTATAAGCAGAGGGCGGGAGGAGAGTAGTAGCTTGTGCGTCCTTGAGGGCCTCAACCTGGAGTGGGAGAGGGAGTAGGAGTGAGGCAGTTTAGGGAAAGCTCCTACAGAAGAAGTGAGAGAAGGAATGGTAAAGGAGAAAGACCAGGTCAGCGATAACGGGAGAGGACTTGAAAAGTTCAATGTCAGCTGTCCCAGACAAGGAGAAGGAGTCAAGGTGGAAAGTACCAAATTAAGAGAGGTCAGGGAGGGTGAGAACTGAGACTGGACACTGAGTTTGGCTGTTCAGAAAGACCCCAACCAACTGTCAAAGGAGAAGTTGCAGGAGAGCAGAAGCTAGGTTACATGTGGTCAAGGAAAAAGGGAAGATTCTATGGGATAAGAATGAAGGAAAAAGGGAAGATTCTGTGGGCTAAGGAGGGGCTCATTGCCTCAATAGAGGAAGGGACAAAAGGCGAGATTTCTAAAATATATTCTAGATGGTATGACTTTTAAGTTTGCACTGGTACAAATATGTACAAGCCCACCGCACTGTATAGTTTCTTGTTGTCCATGTGAGCAGTCTCTCTGAGATCTTCAGTGCTCAGTCTTTAAGGTCCCGATGCAAAAGCATTAGAATGGTGGCATATATATTTATAAATGAATAAAGTATAATATATAATGTAAACAATCAATTAATTGTAGTTAATACAATAAATGCAATCATGTGTTGCTTAATGCTTAATCAGTTAGATCATATGTGCTGATAAGGCCCAGGGGTCATATTTCAGTTCTTATCTCCTCGGTCAGTTTCCTGCAGTGAAGCTGTTGACTGGAAGGGCAGCAGGCCAAGTAGGAGTGGGGACCCATCAGCACGATGTCATCACTGATGCCCCGGCCAGTACTCAGTCCACACTTGGCTGGCTAGAGCATGCCTCCCGAGGAGAAGTAAGGCCAGAGCATTTTCACAGAGTGGAAGGAATTCCTGGTCCTAGTGTGTCTGACTTTCTACCAGACAACATAAGTTTTGATGCTAGAAAGCAACTTTGAGCCCTACTGAGAGAAAGAGGACACCAGGAGGAAACATTAGAGGAACAAGATTAGAAAAACAAGATTTGACCTCTGACCTTGAGCAGGGCTGCCACACTGCAGCTAGGTAACCTCCTTACCACCCACACGACCATGTGTAGCAGCCCCAACTCTCGGAGGACTGCACGTACACAGCACTGTATTCCTTGACATCTTTTTTCAAACTGTGTCCTTCCCCATTGTTTATCTGGTGAGCATTGTGTGTCATTAGGTAATAGTCATGGTGCAAACATCATAGAGTGTACTTACACAAACCTGGAGAGGCTAGCCTAATACACACTTATGCTAAATGGTATAGCCTATTGTTTCTGGGCGACAGACCTGTAAGCATGTTACTGTACTGAATATTTCAGGTGTTTGTAACACAATGATATTTGTGTATCTAAACATAGAAAAATAGTACAAATCTGGTATTACGGGATCACCATCATATATGTTCTTTGTCGTTGACCGAAATGTCATTGCGCAGCACATGACTGTACGTTATAACCAACACTTAATGAGTTCTGTGGGCCAGCAGTGTTATAAGTGCTTTCGTTGGTATTATCTCATTTAATCCTCCCAGCAACCCTATGAGGTATAGGTGGTATTATTCTCATTTTGTAGCTGAGGAGGGCTAGGTAACTTGCCCAGAGTCACACAGCTGGTAAGTGGTAGAGCCAGGACTAAGTATACCAGGTGGTCCAGCTGCAGAGCCCATGCCGTTAACAGCCATATTCTGTTGCTTACTTTACTTTGTTGCTGAATTGCTTAGGATTGCAAATGGCATTAGATATAATCTTTGATGAAACAGGAATATACCAAAGGGAGGAAAATTGAATATGAAGGAAAGGGCTGCTGGTTGCTGGTGGAGCAGTGTTTCAGAGAGAGTAGGCAGGACTAGGACCAAGAGTGCAGGTAGAGGGTCACTAATGGAAAAATCACCCGACTTGATTTTTAGGAGAGGAGGGAAGAGAGGGTTGGCAAAATTAGGGCGAAAGAAAGAGGTTAGGGATTTTGTAGGAGGGAGAGAAAGGTAGATAATATTAGAAGATACTTTGAGGTGGTGAGAGAGAGCACCATCCATCATGAGAATTACCAAGTGGATTTTCGAAAATGGTCTCCACTAATAGTTTGATGAGATCTAGTAGTCCTATGGAGTAGAAGGCCTGCGTGACTCGGGTTAGGATGGGACATGCATTGACCTTGACAGATTTCCAGAGCACCCTTTGGTAAAGCTGTGAAGGTCACACCTTCCAAGGCGAGGGCTGTATTTTGGTTAGTTGCTGATTTGCTGCCCCAAGTGGAGTAGACGTAGCAGGTTGAAGTAAGAGTCATGTTGTCTTTTTCTTGGCTTGTGAAGACGTCCCAGGCTTACAGGACAAAGAGAAACAAAAAGCAGATGAAAGAATAAAGGCAATAGAGACATTTTGAATTTGAGGGGTGTTGAGCCATGAATGGCACATTCCTGAATTGCTCCCTAGTCAAACCTATTCAAGGCCTTCTAGAAATTAGATACATCATGTAAAATAGTGCTTTTCAAACAATCTGTAGGGAAGAGCGCTTTCTGTTGTTAAGGTTGTCAACTGTTTCCATTTTATAAAATATTGTATGATAAATGAATTCAAAAATTGATTAAAAACAAAGACATGAAGAGTGCAAACCCAGTTTGTTTCCTGTTACTAGATTCAGCAGGCACAAGATTGTTCTGTGAAATTGTTAGAGTTTCTAAGTGCCTGCTTTTAATTTCTGAAATTAGTTCTTCATGGACTCCTTACATACTCAGAAGGAACAGTGGACCTCACTTTGCCCAGTACTGATGGAGAATTGAATGGCAGCTCCCTGATAAGACCCTGGCTTGTTTACAGAGTTTCCATTCCCTGAGCTCTTCTCAGAGTGCCTAGCCCAGTGCACAGCTCATTGTGGATACTCATCAAATAAATGCCAGCTAAATGATCCCTTTAATAGGTGAGTTTTGATGCAGGATAAAATTACGTTAGTATGATAACAAGTCTTTCAAAAAGAAGTTAATTAAAATGTATACATATGGGGGTAGGCTGAACTAAAGCAAACTGTGCTTTACCTTGTTTGGCAATTTTCAAAAACCACGTCTTTGCAGATTTCAAAAACCTTAGTTCCCAGGATACCATTTGTCCCTTGTGCTGTGTATGCACTAACCTCAGCCACAGTTCGTCTTTTGGTTTTAGATTGTGTCAGCAGCTAAGGTGTGTGGAGCTGCCAATGAGTCACCGTCAGTGAAGAGCCTCCGCTTGCTTATTGCTGATCAAGACTTTTCCTTTAAAGCTGGCCAGTGGTAAGTGGCTTTTCTGTGTTTCAAGTGTATACGTTTAAGAAGCTGCCATCAGATAGAAGGGATTATTTTTTCTTCTGGAAAAGACTTCTCTGGCCAGCTATTCCCTTGAGGAAGAGGAATTCTAGCTCCTATCTGCTCAGAGTGAGCCTTTGTTGGCACAGAGGATCTGATTCCTTTCCTGGCCTTAGAGCCCTTGGTTTTGAGCCTGTGGCTCCCTCAGTCATATATGAAAATTGCTTTCTTGAGTTTTCCTCATTCAAACAAAGCAGCTAGTTCTGGTCCATGGAACTGACAGCTCTGATAATTACGCTCTTTGGGAACAGTTGCTAACAGAATGCACTTCAGTAATCTAATCTCCTTGAGTTATGTGTTGCTTTTTAAAAATTAGTCGTCTTTGTGTCCAGTGCAGAGTGAACAAAGCATCCTGAAGAGAAGAGGAACTAGTGATGTCATCACAGGGCTCACTACCCTCTTGACTGAATTCTTGTATCATACGTACCTTACCTGGGTTCAATTTAAAATACTTGGCTTAATTTCTTATCAGGATTCCCCAGTCAGACCCAGCTCCCCTAACCCCCACACAAATCATAAGTCTAGCCCATTTGACTTGAGACCGATCAGCATGCTGCCCGGGTTAACAGCTCAGCTGTCTCCCTTTTTCTCCAAATGGGGCCTCACTGAGCTTCAGTTCAAGTTCAGTTGTAAAGAAAGCAACTTGAATTTCCCGAGGAAAGGTGTGTTTGGGTGTGTGTGTCCTTGATTTAAATAAAGCATTCATTTCTAAATGAATTCCTGGCATGTCAGTCTTGATAGTGTTTCTTAGGAGTCACTTGACTAATTTTGGCAGCCCATCTGGAAATGTGGTTTTGTTAGGAGGAGGATGTGTGATAATAGCAAGTGTGATAATAGCAAGAGTTAGCAGTCTTGTGTGTTAATAGTTTGCCTTTGAATTTAGAACTAGAAAACAAGATGCTGATTGCAATAATTTGCGTTTGTGAAGCAATTTACTGCAGTCTTTGCACATGTTCGATGATACACATTAAATGCATTTTGCCTGTTTTAGGGGGTGGACAACATATTTACCCTTCAAAAATGGTTTAGCAGTCATTACGTCGAGAAGTGGAAACTTTAATTGTAATGATCTGTTCTTCCGTATTTCCTTTCTGTGGAAGTGTTTGTGTCATTTGCACAGCACTGTGTCTCTGTGCCTTCAACTCTGAATCCTGCCAAGACTCAGACCCAGCCTCCTGGTTAGGAAAAGCCTGTGCATTGGTTATTGTGTTGCCACCATGGTGTGCCTGCAAGTGTAATGTACTCGCAAACTTCAGTTACCTGATTAGAAAATGTCCTTATTCCCTAGTGATAGTTGTAGAAATAGAGTCCTGTGATTCTCAAGATGATATGATTTGGGGTTGGTGTTACGCATACCATCCCAATGAATGGATTTGGTCATTTCACTGAATTTAGGCCTGAGTTTAATATGTGCCTGTCAGATTTCTTCAGAGGTCAGACTTGGTGGGTAAGGATCACTGACTGGTCAGTGGTGATGCTTTTCCTCCCAGTTGTTGATCAGCATTCATTCCAGGCCCCTGGGCCCTCCTCTTTCAACAGATTGCACCCTTACCATTGATTTATGGTTCTAGGGGTTGTGAGTTCCTTTTGATATGTGACCTTATGGGTAAAGAATGGCTATTTTGCTTGGGTTGGTAGTGCTGTTGCTTAGCATGGCTTTGTGCTGTAGGCTCTCTCTCAGGCCATCAGCTTGGTAGTAACCGCCATGTGGCACTTTGGAGAAGAGGGCAAGGATTAGGGAGAGGAGTGAGGATGTGGCTGCCAGGCAGTTTGTGTAGTTAGGATTGTCAGACTAGAGAGCTGTTAGAAATCAAGGAGAGGGTTGCTGTTGGGCTTGTCTTTGGGGTTAGAGATTGGGCCATGATTCCACATCTCTGATTTTTTGACCAGTGGCTCCCTCTGATACCTACTAAACTCTGAGAATGAGGTTCCAGGCCCAACTGTAACTAAATCAATGAATGTTGTCTATGACTAGCTGGAGCTTTAGCCACAGATCCCCATGTAGACACCTTCAGCATAGATGAGATACAGGCCTGAAGGGGCTCTTTTTGCACTACACTGTATTTTTCCTGGGCCCTGCAGAGAGGACGGATTCCTGTAGCAGGAAACCAGTTCCAAGAGCTCTAGCAATCCATTCCTGAGAGAAGGGCCAAAGGCAGATGCCACCTCAAAACATTTCACACATGAGCAGGGCTAAACTTGGTTCATCTTACTAGTAGACCTACCTTGCCAGCTCCTTAGTGAGTCTGCCCTTCACCAGAATTCCTCCTCCCTGGGGGTGGAAAGATTGGCACTCACTCTTGGGTCTGGAGCATGCCACCACTAGTCCTCACACAGGTGCAGCTGCCCTGAGTTTTTAGATTCACATTTGGCTGTGGCACTCACTGCCTGCCTCCAACAATGGTGGTGCTACTGTGGGTAGCAGTGTATTGTCGCCTAGTGCCGTGAAGACTACGCAGCTCACATGCTTGCTTTCTACCAGCCAGCTCTGTGATGTGGGCAGTTTTCTTATTTGTCTGGGCTTCAGTTCTCATATCTTCAAAGAGGGAGCAATAGACTATGTTTTGGGATATTTAAAGTGTTTAGCATAATGCCTAATGTTAACTTTGATTTTAGCTTTTGTTATTGCTAGTATTTCATTCAGTCAGTTAGATCTTATGTACTGGTAAGGCCCACGGGTCATATTCCAGTTCTTATCTCCTTGGTCAGTTTCCTGCATTGAAGCTGTTGATTGGAAGGGCAGTAGGCCAAGTAGGAGTGGGGGACCATCGCCACGATGTCATCACTGATGCCCCGGCCAGTACTCAGTCCACACTTGGCTGGCTAGAGCATGCCTCCTGAGGAGAAGTAAGGCCAGAGCATTTTCACAGAGTGGAAGGAATTCCTGGTCCTAGTGTGTCTGACTTTCTACGAGATAACATAAGTTTTGATGCTAGAAAGCAACTTTGAGCCCTACTGAGAGAGAGAGGACACCAGGAAGAAACATGAGAGGAACAAGAGTAGAAAAACAAGACTTGACCTCTGCCCTTGAGCAGGGCTGCCACACTGCAGCTAGGTAACCTCTTTACCACCCACATGATCATATGTGGCAGCCCTGCCTCTCGGAGGACTGCAGTACACAGCACTGTATTCCTTGACATCTTTTTTCAAACTGTGTCCTTCCCCATTGTTTATCTGGTGAGCATTGTGTGTCTTTTAAGACTGTTTAAAGGGCATCGCTTCTGTGAAGTCTTTCTTAATTCCTTTACTCCTGGTAGAATCGATTCCTTCCTGTGCTATGCTAAGCAGATTTTATCATTGCCCATTTAATTGTATGTATTTGTTAATTTTCCTTCTCTTAGACTGGATTTATTGAGGGCAGGAACTAAGACATATATGCATGTTTGTACCTCCAACAAGTACCACAGTGCCTGTATATGGTAGGCGGGTGCTCTCTTTGGTGTTTGCATTAAGTGAGTGAGCGAGGGGCTCTGGGAAACTGTAAGCAAGGACTAAAGGGTTCTGGGATCTCATAGTATAGCTGCTGTGTGCTTGGCACTGAGCTCCCTTTGTGGGCAGGACCCAGCCACCTAGTGTGTCGTAGTTGGATGTGGACATCCACTGCTTCACTGCACACCTAGGCTCCTTCTGCATACACTCACTCATTGGGTATATAGTAAGGGCTTTAACTCATGGCTCCAAGAGTGCTCATCCTGCAAAGGACATTTTTAAAGGTGCATGTTTAAAGTTTACTTCTTTCTTGGACAGATGTTTTATGAAATACTTATTGTGCATATTTTCTTAAATCCATTCAGATGAAGTTTTTATATAACTTAAATTTTTCTGGTTTTTTTTTTTTTTTTTTTTTTTAATGAAGGAGTTCTTTCTCCAAAGTTACTAGAGAAGCGGGTTCCCTTTCATTCAACTGAGAGAATGGTCTTCATCAGCATTGAGCAGCAGAGGGCACTGTAGTTCAGGAGATGAAGCAGCAAAAGTAGCTCATTAATGTATTTATTTTGTAAACATGGAAATAATGGAGATTTTATATACCTCCTCTGTGATGACATATAGCAACTGTGTTAACAAATGCTAATGATAGTCTTTAAAATTTTTATCTTGTCTGAGGTGAAACAAAAGTTAAAGTATTCATGGAAAAAAGTCAAGTGAAAACAGGTTAACGTTGACTAAAGACCTTTTTGGGAGCACTTCCAATCCAGAACTGGTTTTTAAAGACCATAATAAATGACTGGAAAGGTAAGGCCATAGATTGGAGGAGGATTTTTTTTTTTAAGGTCATAGATCAAATCAGAGAACATCTTGTGCCTTTTCTTTTAAGCCTATATGTGAGTAAGCAACTGGGGAATGATGGTATTTTTTGTCCTGTAATGGCTGTGAAACACCTAGATAGGATGTTTATGTTTCCCAGGTATGGGGATGAGAATTTTTTTTAGTTTTATGTCGTAATACATTTTTCTTGGTATGTAACTAGGTTTATTGTTAGAATCCTCACCAAAAAGTTTCTGTGGCATAGAATTATTGAAAGCTTGAAACCCAGGAGCTCTAGACTACAGGATGTGGTTAGAAGAAAAGAAGGAAACATGAGACTTGTGTAACTCAGAGGCTGTATCAACCTATTAAGTTTGCCAAATGCTAGTGGGAGAGTTTTTGTTACTTTTCTTGCCCCTTTTCATACTTTTTAAAACTTGAAAAAACTGTTAGATTGAGATATAGTCATATAAAATTCAAACATTTAAAGTGTGCAATTCAGAGGTTTTAGTATATTAAGAGAGTTGTGCGGCTATCAGCACAATCACTTTTAGAACACTTTTATCATCTCAGAAAGAAACTCTGTAAGATTATTAATTCCCCATCCTCCTGCCCAGCTTAGATGACCACTAATCTATTTTGTCTCTATGGATTCGTCTATTCTGGATATTTTTTATCAGTGGAATCATATAATACAGTGTGTGGTCTTTTTGTGATTGGCTTCTTTCACTTAACATGATTTCAGTGTTCATCTATGTTGTAGCCTATATCAGTACTTCATTCCGTTGTTTGGATATACCACATCGTGTTTACATCTTCATCAGCTGATGGACATTTAGATTGTTTTCCACTTTGGAGCTATTGTGAATAATGCTGCCATTAACATTCATGTACAAGTTTTTGAGTGGACATATAGTTTCACTTATCTTGGGTCTAAACCTGGGTGTGTAATTATTGGGTCATAGGCTAACTCTGTTTAACATTTTCAGGTACTACTAAATTGTTTTGTAGAGGGGCTGTGCCATTTTACATTCACACCAGCAATGTGTAAGTGTTCCAGTTTCTCCAGACCTCACTAGCACTATTTGTCTCTTTGATTATAGTCATCCAGGTGGATATGAAGTGGCAGCTCATTATGATTTTGACTTACATTGCCCTAATGACTGTTGATGTTGGACATCTCTTCATGTGCTTATTAGCCATTTATATATCTTCTTTGAAGAAATGTTAAGAGTGTTTTGCCCATTTTTTATTTGGTTGTCTCTTTATTACTGAGTTGTAAGAGTTCTTTTTGTAATCTGAATGCAAGTACCTTAATATTAATAGATACATTATTTAAAAATATTTTTTCCCATTCTGTAGATTGTCTTCAAAACTTTCTTTTTGTTTTTTTGAGATGGAGTCTCATTCTGTTGCCCAGGCTGGAGAGCAGTGGTGCAGTCTGGGCTCACTGTTACCTCCGCCTCCCAGGTTCTAGCGATTCTCCCACCTCAGCCTCCTGAGTAGCTGGGACTACAGGTGCGTGTGCCATCATGCCCGACTAAGTTTTGTATTTTTAGTAGAGGCGGGGTTTTACCATGTTGGCCAAACTGGTCTCAAACTCCTGACCTCAGATGATCTGCCCATCTCAGCCTCCCAAAGTGCTAGGATTTGTACAGGCATGAGCCACTGCGCCCTTTCTTGATGATAACATTTGTAGCACAAAGTGTTTAATATTGATGAAATCTAGGTTCTCTTTTTTTTCTCTGACCTTTTAGGTTTTGATCATATCTAAGAAGCCATTTCCATGAAGTTTTACTCCTGTGTTTTCTTGTAAGAGTTTATAATTTTAGCTCTTACATTTAACTCTCTGCCCCATTTTGACTTAATTTCTGTATATGTTGTGAGATAGGGGTCCAAATTCATTCTTTTGTATGTGGTTTTTCAGTTCTCTTTAGTGCCACTGTTGAGTAGACTGTTTTTTTGCCATTTAATTGGCTTGGCACCCTTGTCAAAAATCAATTCACCATGAATTTAAGGCTTTATTTCTGGACATTCCATTCTTTTCCATTGATCTACATGTCTGTCCTTATGTCAGTACAACAGTGTCTTCATTACTGTAACTTTCTAGTAACTTTTGAAATCAGAAGGTGTAAGTCCTGCAAATGTATACTTCTTTTTCAGGATTGTTTTAATGATTCTGGGTTCCTCAAATTTCCATAAAATTTTATGATCAACTTGTCAGTCTCTACAATGAAACCACCTGTAGTTTTAGTAGGTATTACATTGAATCTGTGGGTTAATTTGAGGAGTATAGTCCTCTTAGCAATATTAAGTCTTCCATGTCACGAACATGGGATCTGCTTCTATTTATTTAAATGTTCAATTTTTTTTTCCAGTGGTGTTTTGTAGTTTTTGTTGTGTAAGTCTTACACTTATTTTGTTAAATTTATTCCCAATTATTGTATTCTTTTTTATGCTATTGTAAGTGTAATTGGTTTTCTAAATTTCATATTTGGATTGTTTGTTGCTAGTGTATGGAAATACAGTTGATTTTTGTCTGTTGATCTTGTATCCTGCAAACTTACTAGAAATTATTAGTTCTAATATCTTTTTAGTAAGTACTTTAGTATTTTCTATATATGGCAGCATACCATCTGCAGCTTCTACCTCTGCAATCTGAATGCCTTTTATTTTCTTGTTTACTTATCTTGGCTAGAACCTTTAGTATAGTGTTGAGTTGGAGTGGTAAAAGTAGACATCCTTGTCTTATTTATCTTGGAGGGAAACTTTCAGCCTTTCACCATTAAGTAGGATGTTAGCTGTTCTGAATCCCTTTTATTTCATTTTCTTGTTTACTCACCTTGGCTAGAACCTCTAGTAAAATGTTGAGTTGAAGTGGTGAAAGTAGACATCCTTGTTTCTCTTAGTGGGGAAACTTTCAGCCTTTTACCATTTAAGTAGGATGTTAGCTGTGGGTCTTTTATAGATGCCCTTTATCAGGTTGAGAAAGTTCCCAATTATTCCAAATCTGTTATTTTTGTTATGAAAAAGTGTCAGATATTGTCAAGTTTTTTCTTCCTCTATTGAGATGATCATGTTGGTTTTATCATTTAGTCTACTGAATGGTGTATTATATTGATTTATTTTCCGATGTTAAACCAGTCCCGTATTCCTGGAATTTTTCTGTCTGTATTCAGAAGGGATATTGGTCTGTTGTTTTCTGTCGATGTCTTTGTCTGGCTTTGGTATGAGGGTAATACTGGCCTCATAAAATTAGTTGGAAAGTGTTCTCTTCTGTTTTTGGAAGATATTTTGAAGGATTGGTATTAATTTTTAGTACTTACCAGGATGTCATTTGGACCTGAGCCTGCCTTTGTTTGTTTGTTTGTTTGTTTATGTTTTTGAGATGGGGTTTCGCTCTTGTTGCCCAGGCTGGAGTACAATAGCACAATCTCAGCTCACTGCAACTTCCGCCTCCCGGGTTCAAGTGATTCTTCTGCCTCAGCCTCCCACATAGATGGGATTACAGGCATGCACCCCCATACTTGGCTAATATTTGTTTTTTGGTTTTTGGTTTTTTTTTTTTAGTGGAGATGGGGTTTCGCCATGTTGGTCAGGCTGGTCTCGAACTCCTGATCTCAGATGATCCACCTACGTTAGCCTCCCAAACTGCTGGGACAGGCATGTTCCACCACACCTGGCTTGGACCTGAGCTTTTCTTTGTGGGAGGTTTTAAAATTATTAACTCAGTCCTTTAACTTGTTATAAGTATGCTCAGATTTTCTTTCAGATTTGATAGTTTATGCCATTTTAAGAATGTGTGCATTTCATGTAAGTTAGCTAATTTTTTGGCATATAGTTGTTCATGGAACTCTTTTATAGTTCTTTTTCTTTCTGTAAGCTTTTTGATGATGTCTCCTCTTTTATTCTTGATTTTAGTAATTTTTTTTTTCATAGTCTAGCAAAGGTTTGCCAATTTTGTTTAACTTACCAATTTTTAAAATTGCTTAAACAATAATCATTTATTTGGCTTTCCTTTTAGGGTTGATTTCTTTATTCCAGGAGTCTCTGTGGTTGGTGGGTTTTCAATATGCTCCAGTCCCAGACTGCTAGAACAAGAGAGAATGATAGAATTGGCAGTGAAATATACGAACCACCCTCCTGCCCTCTGGGTTCACAATAAGGTAAGCAAACTGCCTGTTTAAACTCGATAATCTGGGAAATCTCTGGCACCCACAAAATTTGTGTTAAGGTCGTTTGATTCACCCAAGAAACTGGGTTTCAGTAAAAGGATACATGCCCACAAAGAGCGTCTAAGAAAGGTCAAAGAAACTGATGCATTAAGTATGAGTCAGAGACTTTGAAATCTGGAAATATTTTCTGGGTCACCAAACAGTATTCACTTGAATACTGCTTTAGAATTAAAATATTTTCTATTTTATGCAAGTTATAAAAAATTGGCTGTCTGTATCATATAAATGGTAAATCTATAAATCAGATTATTTTGTCCTAACCATCCTAAATAAAGGGAATTGAATTAGTATTCTATCATTTGGAGGGGAGACTGTCTGATTACATAGTACTGCTTCTTGCCAGAGATGAGCACAGCTAAATCCACGATGCCATTGCCTCTCCATTTCAGTCTCTGGAAAGCTCTTCACTTGGGATTCTGAGAGAGAATCCAATTTGACTGCTGTTAATAACTCATACTTCACCACAGGGCTTAACACAATCCTACAGAAGCTGCCTGTCATTACCTCTAGAACTCTGATAACAAAGAATGCGCTCAGAACAGATCAGTTACTCGTTGTCTTAGTTTTTGACCCTTCTGTCCTTTTCACTTTTTGCCTTTTCTATCCTTTTCCTTTTCCTTTTGCTGCCACTTCATCACTAGAGTGTCTTCTATATTTACCAACAACCTCTATCCCATCCCAGGCTTTTTCTTACCTTCTTTACCAAAAACATATACCAGTACAAATATGGCATCAAAAGCAGCATTTTCTTGTTTCCTGGAAATCATTGGGAATCAACAAAGGAAAAAGAGAACAAAAACTCTGTTTTCAGCAAAACTTGGAAACACACTCTAGTATATTTTTAAAGGTTGCAGAAAATTACTGCGTTTCTGTAGGAGCCACATGGAAATAAGTAGAGGAGAGAGGGCAAGAGTAGCAAATCTCATAGAGCACCAACAAAAATATACTACATAAGGGAGTGCGGTGGAACTTACAGCTATTGTCTGCCAAAGGGGGTATGGAAACACAGTTGAGTTTTGCGGCTGCAGAAGTCCCACCTGGACTGCAGCAAGGTTCAGTTAGGAGAGAAAGCACATGAAAAATGACACAGACAAATCATGTTTGTAGGAACTAATACATCCTGTAGTGGCTGAAGAGAACTTTTATGTTGGAAAAACCAGCTAGCTTAGAGGATACTCTCTGGCCTGTCCTCCAATATAGAACCCTCCTACAAATAGTTGGTCCAAAAAAAAAAAAAAAAAGCACAGTTCATTTTAGTCTCATGAAAGAAATCAAAGAAGACATAAGTAAATAGAGAGATGTACTGTGTTCATAGATTGGAAAACTCAACATAGTACAGAAGTCAGTTCTCTTTAAATTGATATATAGATGTAACATAACACTAATCAAAATCTCAACAGGATTTTTTTATAAATATGGACAAAGTGATTTTAAAATTTATATGGAATAAAAAAGGACCTAGGATAGCTAAAACAATTTTGGAAAAGAAGAATAAAGTGAGAAGAATCCCATTAGTCAAATTTAAGATTAAACTACATCATTCAAAACAGTATGGTATTGGTGAAAGGAGAAACACATCAAATAATATAACAGAATAAACAGTTCAGAAATAGAATGACACCTATGCAGTCATTTTATTTTCGACAGAGTTGCTAGATTCATTGGAAAAATTGAATGGCAAAAGGAGAGCCTTTTCAACAAATAGTTCTGGAACAATTTTGCATCTATATGCAAAAAACAGAAAGCCTTCAATTTAAACCTCATACTTTATATTCAGAATTAACTCAAAATGGGTTGTAGATCTAAATATAAAACATGGTACTGTAAAAGTTCTAGAAGAAAACAGGAAATACTTGGAACTTGAGAATAGGTAAAAAGTTCTTAAACACAGTGCCACAAGCAAGATACATCAGAGAAAAGGTTGACAATAGGACATGGTCAGAATTACAACTTCTTCTACAAAAGACATTTAACACAACTGAAAAACAAGCTATAGACTGGGAGAAAATATTTACAAATAAAATATCTAACACAGGACTTGAATCTAGAATATATAAAGAAATCTCAAGAGTCAACAAAACACAAGTAACACGATTTTTTTAAATGGGCAAAGGATTGAATAGACACTTTACTAAAAAAGGATATCCTTATTTTCATTGCAAATAAGCAATGAAAAGGCGTTCAGACATTATTAACCCTGAAGGAAATGTAAATTAAAACCCTATGTGGTGGAATACCACTACAGACCTAGTCCAGTGTCTAGAATTAAAAATATTGACAATACCAAGCGTTGGCAAGGATGTAGAGCAACCGAAACTCTCATATATTGCTTATATTGCTAGTGGGAATGCACAATAGTACAGCCAATCTGGAAAGCGTATTAGCAGTTTTGTAGAAAGTTAAACATACACTTAGCATATGACCCAGCAATACCACTTCTGAGTGCCTTAGAGAAATGAAGGCTATGCTCACATAAAAGCATAACGTGAATATTTATAGCAGTTCTTATAATTATTAAAAACTGTTAGAAACAACCCAGATGTCCCTCAGCAGGTGAATGGATAACCTGTGATAGATTCATCCAAGGGACTGCTATTAAAGGGATGAATTATTGATGCACACAGCCTTGTGGGCAAATCTCAGAGGCATTCTGTTGAGTACAAGAAGACAGTCCCAAAAGGTTACATACAGTATAATCCCATTTTTTTCATATTCTGGAAGACAAAGATACAAGGTGTGAAATAAATCAGTGGTTGACTGGGGTTGGGGTGACTGAAAAGGCAGGAGCATAAAGGGATAGCAGAGGGGAATAATTTCAGGGGGTGATGGAACTAGTCTATGTTTTGATTTTGATGGTTGTTACCCAGATCTATATGTGTGTTAAAATTCATAGAAACATACACCAAAAGAAAAAGATGTCTGTTAAGGGAATTTTAAAAATAATTTTTAAAAAATCTGCAGGAGCAACAAAATATATTCTTGTGGTTTACACATCAAGTTGTGTCTGTCCAGGATAGCCCCCAGATGCCTGTGTGGGCATTTCCGTTGTAAGTGTATGCTGTCACATTTTTACCCTGCAGCCTCCTGAGTCTCTCTTTCAGTGTGGCCTCAGCTGCCTCATTCCTTTTTGGATTCTCTATGGATTTGCCACTCATTACTGTCTCTAGGCTGCTCCTAGAGGTGCTAAAATACGTTGCTGGGGTGAGATCAACAAGGTGTCCACATGCCCCTTGCTCAGAGTTGAAATAAGCATAGCCATCCCAGCTCCTAGTGCCATGAACATCTCCCCATCCTCCCTGTTATCCTTAGCCTCCCATGCGACCTGGCCTGGTCCTGGTCCACAGTGTCCTGCTTGGTTTCATGCCTCATTGGCATTTCAGTGAAGGAACTTATTCTTACAGGCTGTAGAAAATCTTAAAGTGGTGTTGCCTGAATGCGCATCCTAATTGTAGTACTTGCTCTAGTCTGCCCAGTGGGAGTTGCAAACAGCCTTTATGAAGTCAGATTTTTCTTGGACCCATTTTCAGGTGGCTAGTTTCCTCCTGAGGATTTGTCTTATTAAACCATTAGAGTGGACAATGGAGGCACGTGAATGTCTGGGTGGCAGCAGGCTGCACCATTGAGACGTGGAATAAAGTGCCATAAATGTCTTCCTTTTTTAAAAAATCTGCTTTGGCTCAAGCTCTTGGCAGGGTAAAGGGTTCTAGACAGCTATTGTGTGCTTAGCTCCAGTTGCTGGGGAAAGGTTATTTCACAAGTAGAAAATCAATACCAAAATTAGATACATTGCTGTGTAATTGAAGGTAATGTCCTTTTACTTACTTACATATTATAGTGTACAGTACATTGAGTCTTGTGTTCATGTTACCCTGGCAGTTTTTATTGATCAAAAAGACAAAGGTGGCTTTTGATTCTTTCCAGATGCTAGCAAATTGGAAGATAGACCTACTGAAGATTATTTTGTCATTAAGAATAAGACAGGCTTCTTGAGTATTATCTTTCCCTGGGGCACATTTTCTTGCCAACTTTAGAGTTGAAAATACTCTGGTTTCTAAAAATAATAACTTAGAGGCTTTCTTTTGTTGTCATTACTAAGCATGCCAAAGATGGCCATTGGAGAAAATTGTTTCAGTCCCTTTCACTCTGATTCTTATAGATAAAGAGAGAACTGCACAGGCCAGCAAGAGAGGGAGGGAAGGAGGATATAGGAGATGAAATTCATTGTCATCATTAGGCAGAGCCTCTTGTATCTTAAATTCTGTTTTTGAGACTTGAAAGGAAAGAATATTTTAAAGCACCTTGGTAGCCACTGTAGCAATTCCTAGATTTTAGTTATTCCTAACTGAATGCTCCCTTGCTGCTAATTTCTTTTATCAAAAATGAAAACCCACTTATCACCATTCATGTAAAAATCTCCTGCGTATTTAAAATAGTTAGGTTCAGACATTTTTTTTCCCCTGAGAGAAAGGGTATCCATTCATTTTACAGTTCTTTACCAAAAAGGACATGTTTTGTGAATTCAAGTAATTTTCATTTTTCTTAGATAGTCTCTAAGTTTAACTCATCTTTAAATTGTAGAGCCCATATTAAATTCATGTCTAAAAGTACTTAACTGCTCACCTGCCATACAAGGTGCCATGGTGTGAATGCTAAGGGTTTGGTTCTCAAAAGCATGCGATATGTTACTACTTCGGAGGGCATTCATTTAGTTGATTTATGCTAGGAACATGTAATAGGAGAAACCTATGCTCCTAATATTAGTTTCTTTATTCCTGCAATCTGTTTTTTAGTGACAGGGAAGAAGGAAGCTGCCATTGCCAGCACTTTTTCTTTTGTGGCAGCTGCAATGACCAAAATACCTTCTTATATAGAGCCAGATACTAGTGAGCTTCTCCCCATGTGAGTCAGTTGATGTTCACACCAACCCTGTGAGGTGGGCAGTGCAAGTGCTGGTACCCATTTTCTAGGAGTGGCAGCTGAGGCTCAGAGAATTTAAAGGATTTACTGGATTTCATAGGGGCCATGATTAAAATTCAGTCTTTTTACTCCTAGATCATTGGTTTGTTTTTTGTTTTTTTTTTTTTTTCCCCGAACAAGGGGTTACCAGCTCTGTCAGATCCTCCAATGCCCCTTTCTAGAACTGTCCTGAAATTTAAAAAAAAGTCCTAGTTAATGTAATGTACCCATAGATTTTTAATAACATAATTCTCTAACTAATACAAAGGAGAAGTACAAGAAAGTGATTCATAATCAAAGAATATGTATTTTAACATGTACATGGCTAGGCAGGTCTAACTGGAAAACAGAATGAAGTAGTCGGATGGCTGTTCCTGGACATAGGATCACCGTAAATACACTGTCTACAGACGTAGTGATAAAGGTGTGTTGTGTGGGCGACACATGTCACTGGAATGTGGTTTTCCAGAACAGTGACCATGCTTGGTGAAGTTCTGAACACAACAAAGTGCAGTTTACATTGTGACTACTGAGTTTATTTGTAAAGATGAGTTAGGGTCTAGTTTCAGATCATTGTAAATCAGTTTTTGCCTGTAAGAACGTCTTTTGGGCCATTCAGGAGTCATTGTACAGGACGGTCTTGTGCATTGTAGATAATGGTGTGCTGACAAACCAGTTATCTAAATTTTAAAAGCCCTGAGTTGTATCATTTGCTGATTTCTATATTGTAAATACTCGCACAATGGCTGATTTCAAACTACCAGTAGAAACTTTCTTACAAAATTCCTGTACATTTGACCACCAGCTTAGTAGGAGCCAGTTCTGGGAAACCAGTAACTTTGTAGGATCTCTAGCATCTCTGACCCTGCCCTCTAAATGCCAGTTGGAGTGCCCAAATCACTGTGACGGTAAAAAATGTCATCACAAGTTTCCCAGACACCTTCATCAGAAGCAGTAGCACCCCCACTGAAAAACCAGTACATTCAACTCTAATGGCATTACGGGCATAAGTGACCTCACCAAACAGTAGCTGCATTATCTAGATCAGGCATCCCCAAACTACGGTCCGCAGGCCACATGCGGCCCCCTCAGGCCATTTATCCGGCCCCCTGCCGCACTTCAGGAAGGGGCACTTCTTTCATTGGTGGTCAGTGAGAGGAGCACAGTATGTGGCGGCCCTCCAACGGTCTGAGGGACAGTGAACTGGCCCCCTGTGTAAAAAGTTTGGGGACGCCTGATCTAGATAGATGTATGTGATACTCCATAGTCTGAAGCCTCTGGCTGCCTGTTCTTGTTTCTTTAGGGAGAAGGGAACAACACTGAATGGTACTGCAGGGCTGGTCTAAGCCTGTAGAGCTGGTCTGGCTGTGTCCTACCAAGGCTCAAGAGGGTGCCCCAGTGCTCACATTTTTCAGCCTTGAGGAACCCAGGCAGGCAGTATAGTGACATTTGCCACATCCTGTTTCTCTCAGCTTTGATCAGAACACAGAAGCACAACTCAGATAAAGGAGACCCATACTTCAGAGCTGTCCCCTGCCTTTGAGTCCATTGCGTCTTTCCTCGATCCAATTCATCACCTTAGAAGTTAACAAATGATAAAATCAGTGAAGCACGTCTCCTTTTCTCAATATTGGAATGGCTGTTCAGTATGGATTACGAAGGTGGATTAGCTTATGGCCTATAAAATGAGCAAGTGGAATCAATTCACAGGGCCTTGGGAAAATTGGGAGCAAGCTATAAAAATAATCCTAAATACTGATAATACAGGAGGTAGACCCAGTTTTATTCAAGTAGAACATGTGGTTTAAGACCTGCGCTACAAAAGGCTAAAGGATCTTTTCTTTCCTGCCTTAGTGTACACTCGACTCTGAAGTGGCTGTGAGAGTGGGTGGAGAGTTCTTCTTTGACCCTCAGCCTGCGGAAGCCTCTAGAAACCTCGTGTTGATTGCAGGAGGAGTCGGAATTAACCCTCTGCTTTCCATCCTGCGGCATGCAGCAGATCTCCTCAGAGAGCAGGCAAACAAAGGACGTGGATATGAGATAGGAACAATAAAACTGTTCTACAGTGCAAAAAATACCAGTGAACTCCTGTTTAAGGTAAAGGAGAAATAGCTTACTATAAACAGACTTGTGTATTAATTGTTCACAGAAGCTTTTTCTCTAGGTTCTGTTTTCTCTGCAAAGGTTCCAGTGAAAGGCTTGGCAAGGTTTAATATGCTCAAACGAGAACTAACCAACACACCTTACCCAAGACAAGTAAAACTACCAGTTAAGTGACAGCAAAGGGCAGGTTTTAGTGGGATGGAATCTGGAGGTTAGATGAACAGAAAAGTCACAAGGGTCCTGAGATTCCAATCAGGAGACCTACAGTGGGCTGATATATCACAGGAGTAGGTAAGACTTACACAGTATGGACCCAGCTGGGTAAATGAAACCCTCAGTTGCATCTGTTTAAACTAAGTGCATTTGATGGAGAAAGCTTTCACTGGGGATTGCTTTGCAGCTGCAGGAATGAACAAAAGAACAGAAACAGTTAAAAGACACGACTGTGGTCAGTGAAACTGCTGCTTAATTGCCAATGCTTGAGAAAAAGGAAAAAGAAAAAACTCCCGGAGAGTTGGTAATATGCTTGTTAGCATATTCAGATTTCAATTAAAGCCAAATAGCCCTCTGTAGTCTGAATGCTCTGGCCTGCTAGGCTGCAAACAATATCTCTCTAAGTAGAGAGCAGGAGTGGCAGACGTGTGCAGAATGGGAGTTGAGGTTCAGCGTCAATGGTTGTGCACATCTGTTTTGATTTTTTAAAATTGTAGTGTGACCAAATATGTTTGACATTCCAGAAAAATATCCTTGATTTAGTAAATGAATTTCCTGAGAAGATTGCATGCAGTTTGCATGTCACAAAGCAGACCACACAAATCAGTGCAGAACTCAAGCCGTACATCACGGGTGAGTCCCCTAAAGATATTTTGACTATCTCTGTGCAATTACTTGATGGACACACCAGTTTGTTGAGCATAGATGCCTTATTGTTGGAAGTTGCTGGCTGGGAATGTCACTATCTGGGGAATTGAGATGATTCATCATGGAAAAATAAAGAGATATTTAGTTGGATTTACTCATTATATGCAGGTTTCCTAGTGCCTATGTTAAAAGTGTATTTTTCACACTTTTTAAGAGGCCTTTGCATCATTACTGTAGTATACCTACGAAGAATTTATATTCCAGATTTGGCTGAATTGATTCCATTTGCCATTAATGGTCATTTAAACAACTCATGATTTCCTCTGAAAGGATTTTTATATAACATTTACTTCTTTCGCCGTAGGCAGTTTTGTCTCTCTATCAAAGACAGGTAAGCTAGCTGGCCCTTTCTGCAGAGTGCATTATGATGAGCTTCCCACTTTGCTTGCTTTGCTTGCTTAGGTTTAGGAAGCCTGGAGACACTCTCTGCTTGGGTCTGGCCCCAGATGCCAACACGAGCCGTCCTGCGAATGGCTTAGGAAGAGCCTCACTGAGCTTGAGTTACAGCAAATAAACACTGTGGCTGAATTGTGGTTAGTCCTTCCTCATCTGCCAGTACAACCATGTGTGGCTTAATTTGGTGTTTATTCTTTTTTTTTTTTTTTTTTTTTTGGTAGAAAGAAGAATAACAGAGAAGGAGATAAGAGATCATATTTCAAAAGAGACTTTGTTCTATATTTGTGGCCCACCTCCAATGACCGACTTTTTCTCCAAGCAACTGGAAAACAACCATGTACCTAAAGAACACATTTACTTTGAGAAGTGGTGGTAGGAGGCAGATAAAGACAGAAGATAAAGAGGTGAGATCTGCTCAGGAGATCTCCTGTCCTTTGTGGCATGATTCATTTTTTTTTTTTTTTTTTATCTCTACTTGAGTTGTCTTATTTTTTAAGGCTATAAACATAGTGACCAGCTGGATAATAATTAAGCCAACTGACAGACTTAAATGATAAACTTTTTGCAGAGACCTCATTGATAAAGCTATTTCTTACTATACTGATTTATTAACAATGATTTAATTGTATCATGATATACCATGATTGGTCAATATAGATTTTTCTTTCGTCTTTAGGTAAGAAAGTGATACATACTTACATTTAATCATAGGAAAATGTGATTTTTGAGTGTAAAATGTGGGCTAGCTTTAAATTATTTGACAGCCATCTATATATCTTATGTTTAATTATAATTTAAATACATTCTTAATAATTTTACTTTGAAAATTCTTTTTAGTGAATGCCTTTGTTTACTGTACCATGGCCTACAATCTTAGTTAGACCATCAATGTTAAGTTTGGACATGGAAATTGTTAGGAAAACTGCTTTAGGGAGTTAAATATCCAGGATATTTGCTTTTTTGTTAACGAATATCCTAAGTGTGTATCCTGGCTAATTGTTAGTTTCTTCTCAAATGAAACCCTTTCTGTCTTGGCTGTCTGCCTTAACGCTGTAGGAGGCAGCTTCTTGCTTGCGACAAAGGCATTGGTGATGTGTTCCATGTTGAATCTGCCTTCAGTGCTTGGGCTGGCTGGCTATGGAAGTGTGCTTAGCATTGTTTAGGGGGTAGAGAGCTGTTTCTAAATCCTGGTTTTCTACTTTTTATTTCACTAATTTGTCAGAGTTGTTCTTGGCACCCGCAGGTCCTTAACACATATTTGTTGAATGACTGAAAGAAACCAACTAATGTTTTAACTCCTTGCTAAGTCTGAGATTGGGAGGCAGTTCCCCAGAGTGGATAGAAAGAATGGTGGAGCCTTATCCCAAAGCTGCTCTAATGAAACTGCTAGAAAGCAGATTGTAGTTCTTTGTTTAGATTTTTAAAAATCCAAAAGAAATCCTGACTGAAGCCAGGCCATTCCTTTTAGGACAAGTAGTCTTGGGCCCAAGGTTGCCTGCATGGAGACCACAGAAGGGCGAAGAGAGCCTGGGAAGGACGGGGGAGTGCTGGAGACCTACGGAGCTCCAGTTGAGATTCTTTTCTGGAGCAGACGAGAGAAGACAGGTTAGCCTTTCTTAGCTTTGTTGTGGCAGGCATCCCAGGGACTTCTGGGCTTTAACACATATGATTCATGGGGCCTGAAGATGACTGTAGCTTCTGCCCAGTTTTGAGTTTTGTCAGGTTTTAAGCAGAGATCATTTGTCAGCTATTTTGATCCCACATTTGAAAATTTTGGGAGGAAGGGAGGAGCCATTGACTTGATGGGCATATCATAATCCATTCAAGGAAATGGTCCTCAGTATCTCAGAGGTGAAGGGAATATGTGAAGCTCTGGGCCACTACAAGGATCCCTGACTTACTGATTGGCCCCAAAGTGCCCAGGCTGAGGGCATAGGAGCATGATGAGATGCAGGGATGCAGGACTGTCAAGGCGCACTTCCACCAACTGGTGGAGGCAGTCTGTGGGGTAGGAGACCTAAAGGTATAGGGAAAGTGCTTAACCCAGGCTTCTCTGCATCAAGAGTGGAGGTGCAAGGTGAGCATCTCAATGCTGCATGGGATGGGAGGATAGGGAGGTGTTGCCCACTGCCTCTGTTCAACCAGCACCATGGCTAACTGTGTGCCTGCTGTTGTCAGACAGCAAGGGTCACCTGTCCTGGAGATCCCAGCTCTGCCTGCCACCCTGCTGCTGACTCAGTGTCGGCAGAATTGCTGAGATGGGCCAGGTTGCCTTGGCCTGGAGTGTTCATCCTTTCATTGCCATCATTCTGGTGCTAAGTGTTCAACAGCATTTTCTGGTCTGGCCGACAATGTCCTGTTGCTCTTGCCTGTGGGATCTGTCCAGATCTTTTTGGTATTTAAATTAAGCTAACTACAGCCAGAGTGGCTTGGAATTCCTAGTGTAGTGGCTTAGAGTATGGGCTCAAAAGCTCTTGAGCCAGATGCCTGGGTTCAAATCTCACCTATACTACTTACTAGGTAGATGACCTTGAGCAAGTCACTTAACTACTCTATGCCTCGTTTAAAATTACTTACAACTACATGTAAAAGGGAGATGATACTGCCACCTACCTATGTACCTACCTGCTAGGGCTGTTATGGGGATTGAAGGTGATCATACATGGAAAGTGCTTAGCAGAACACTGCATGTGTGTGTGGTCATTAATTTGCTATTCCTTGTCCTATTCAGAAAGGATTTCAAGAGGCTGGATGCCTTAAATGTGGCCCACTAACTTGAAATCTTCATGTGGGTGTGCATCTGTTTTGTTTACTCCTGTGCCAGGCACAAAATAAGATACTTCATAAATATTTGTTATATAGGTGAAAGGGCCTGCTCAGAGTTGATGAGCTGGATTAAAGTGACGTCTTAAGGATCCTCCGGTTCTATGAGTTTGAAATAATGTTTCTTCTTTTGACACGAGACCCTTTCATAGCCTACTCAAGAGACTAGGTTAGTCTGATATTTGTATCTTTCTCAAATTTTTAAAATTTTTTCAAACATATGACAAAAGTAGAGATAGTAAAATGACTTCTCCTGCATCCACCACCGAGCTTCCATGACTATCAGTATTCTGTTGTTTTTGTCAGCCCTCAGCTGCTTTGTGGTGGTGGTCTTGCTGGTGTGTTTTCAAGCAAAGCCTAGCAATTATATTGTGTCACCTGTAAATTCTTCAGTATTTATCTCTAACAGCTACATCACCTTCGCACAGCCACAATGTCATCATCATACCTAACACAAGTGACAGTGATTACTTAATATCATCTAAGACCCCTTCTGTGTTTCCTCATAGCCTCAAAAGTCAGAATATTGCATTTGGTTAATGTCTTTTAAGTTTATTTTAATCAATGGCACACTCCCTACACCTGCTATGCATATGTATAGACACTTTCTCCCCCATGATTCATTTGTTAAAGATTAACTGACTCATTTGTTCTGTAGGCTTTCCCACATTTTGAAGCTGGCCTACTGTATCCTCGGGGTATTGCTTGATTCTCTCTCTGTATTTCATGTAAACTGGCAATAAGATCTAGAACTCCTTTATATTCAGATTCAAGATTTTTTTTGCAAGCCTATATTATAAAGTGATGTACATCTGTATCATACAAGGCATATAATGTCTGTCCCACTTTTAATGCTGTTAAGATGGATCAGCGGTTTCACCGTTTGTCAGCCTGATTCATCCAATATAATGGTCTTCATCAAACTTTCACCTAATTGTTTTTGCAGCCGTTGATCGTTGCTGATAGCTATTTTTCATTAAGGATTAATTATCTATTTGTGTTATTCTTCGACATAGAACTTGCCTTCATCAGCTTTGATTCCCCTGAAATGAGTCTATAAAGAAAAGGCGGGATCGATGCTTGATTTCTTTCCTTTTATTTATCATTTAGCAATACTATGAGTTGGTGCCTTAAAGTATCATTCTGAATGCATGGCTTTTTATACATTTCGTTGTTTTTATCAATTGCAGTCTTTTTTTTTTTTTTGATGTTCAGCTTGTTTTAGGTCGCCCCCGCTGTGTCACAGTGGTTCACATTAAGTCATGATGGTTGATGAGGTTTGGAGCTCTTAATAGGTGCAAAAAGTGCTCTAATAGAGTGTGGTGTTAAGAAGCCTCATGAATACAGTGTTTCATAGAGGATGGATTGGCTAGCTGTGTCATGCTGCTGATAGGACAGGAAAGATGAGTTCTGATGAGAGATCATTGAGTAGCCATTGATTTGGCAACTGGATGGTCATTGGTGATCTTTATAAGATGGATGGTGGGAGAGAAAACACTGAAGTAGGTTTAGGAGCAATTCAGGGGAAAGAAATTATAATGAATATACGTAATATTTACTATAAAGAGAAGAAAAAAGATGGAATGGTAGCTGAAAAGTGAAGTAGGGTCAAGAGAACATTTATTGTACTCATGGAGTTTAATTTTTAAACGTTTGCTTTGAATTGATTTTAGATTTACAGAAGAGTTACAAAGACAGGGTTCCTCTGTATCCTTCATCCACCTTCCCCAGATGTTTAATGTAACTGTGGTATATTTATCAAAACTAGGAAATCAACAGTACAGCTAAGTTGGTACAGTACTATTAGCTAAAGCACAGTTTTGTTTTTTAATATGAGTGAAATACAGCCTGATTGTATGAGAAACCATGAAAGAGTCATTCAGTGGGACTCAGTTAGGGAAGTGACACCTTTTTCTAGAGGATGATGTATTAACTGTCATTTATTGAGCGTATACTGTGTGCAGCCACTGAGCTAGACATTGAAAATAGGAAAGTATAAGACAAAGGTTATCTTAGGAGCAAGTTAAATACTTTGGGAAACCTTTTTTCTTTTTTTTTAATGAGTCTAAGAGTGATAGAAGGTATCTTCTGGAAATAACTGTGTTACACATTGAGAACATTTCAACAAAATTGAAAGTGAATGCTCTGGGGGAAAATGTTTTTTTTTTTTGCACCTATCACTGAAAGAGAACTATAGCAAATGGATGACTGGGTGAGTCAAAGGAGTGATGGATCCTAGGGGCCCAGGGGTAGGGGAGTGGGAAAGGCTGCACCCATGCTCTGCAGACTTGGGAAGATTGTTATACTGGACTTATAGCACAAACACATGCGTGCATGCAGTGATTGTCAAATGATCCAAGATCATGTCTCTCCTACTGAGAATTTTGTTTCCTTTCTGAATGGAAAATAGCAGTTTCTTTCATTCCTGGTTATTGCAGATGATCTGATAATTTAACCTGAGAGCCGTTATTTCATTTTATTTCATAACCCAAAAGAAGTATATTGTACTCATCTTAGAGAAAACAGTGGGATGTCTGGTTTTTAATATCACTCTTTCTTAACATACAATAAGCTATCAGTTTGGTGATGACATGTAGATATCTCCTAACCCACCATAAAATCAAGGCATGTATTTTAAAATATTTTGTGTTCAGGAATCCAAATGTTTATAGTTGTTGAGCAGCCATCTTTTTTTTTTTTTCCCCAACTATTATTTTATTAGCACGTCAGCCCTGGGTCCAGCGTTTGAGGGACAGCCCGGTGGGGCTGGGTTGCGGTCACCCCAGCATGGTCCAACCACAGGAGCAGCCATCTTGATCTGGTCTGTTTTGAATTCTTAAAACCTGTAGGAGCTCATCAGCCTAACCTGGCCCCTTCTAGCTCATCTCCATATCCCATTTTGCTATATTTGAGCATAACAAGATTTTCTCTCTTCCTTTTTTAAAATTAATTACCTAATAAATACAACCACAAATATTAAAGCATATAGATTAAAATGCTGAAGTTCTCTTCTTCCCCATCCTATTCCCTCGCCTAGAAGGAACCTCTGTGTAAAGAACTTGCTGGGTATCCTTGTAGACATTTTATGGTATATTAACCTTGTATACATATACAACTATGTGTACTTGCAGATCTCATTCTTTTACCACACTTCAGATTCTTGGTATATACCATAATATACTTAACCATTTCTCCATGATGGCCATTAGATTGTTTGCAGTTTTTGGCTATTATAAGCAATATAGCAGTAAACTAGTTCGTATGATTTATCTGCACATATTCCTGTAAAATTACTAGAAGTGCCATTTCTGAATAAAAAATTGACTAGTATTGCCAAGTTACCCTGTAAAATGCCTCATCAGTTTATGGTCTAATAGGGTATGAAAGTGCCTATTTCTGGCCAACATTAGCTTTAAGTATTTTTTTCTCCTGATCAGTTAGATGAAAGGTGATTTTTAAAAAATAATTTTCTGATTTTTCCATCGCATTTTTTTTCCTAAGGTATTTTAGCCATCTTCATTTCTGTTTTTCTGAATGGTATATTACTGTTTTATATCTATTTTGATGTCTTACTGATTTATAACCCTAAAATTGGAAAGATACAGAGAAGATTAGCATGGCCCCAGTGCAAGGTTGACGTGCAAATTCATGAAGTGTTTCATATTTTTTTTTAAATAGAATGAGTGCTAATCCTTTGTTATGTATATTACAAATATATATATATATTTCCACTCTGTTACCAGTTCCTTAATTCTGTTTGTTGTAACTTATACCAGAGTTTAAAAGTTATGTGTAATCATATACGTTGGTCTTTTCCTTTGGATTTTCTTCTGATACTTCTGTAAAGTAAAACTCCAAAAATCCTGTCTGCCTTAGAGACTACAGGAGTCCAGAGAGAAGAAACAAAAAATGAGGCATATTGGTTGGCTGTGTGGTGTGGCTGGGAGGAACATGGCACCAGACTTCAAGAGACCTAAATCATGCCCATTCTACAAGTTGCTGCCTGTGGGACTCATTCCACCTCTCTCTGTAGCCTGCTTTCCTGATTTGTCGCTGTGGGTAGGACTATGCAATTTAAAATTCCTTTCAGCTTTACCTTTCTATAATTTCATGATAGGAAAATGTGCCTTAGAGATTTAGGTTGACCATACTGAGAGATGTCTAAGAAGTATCTTAACTGTCTTGAAATATTTTATTGATTCTTGAAATGATGGTTGTTTGTATCTCTGGGATAGAAGATGACGTCATTGTCTTGGACTGAAGCCAGGGGAGAAGTTTGGTTTGATACAGAGGACTTTTGGACTATACTGCTGATTAAATTCTGGAGTTAGGGCTCAAGAGAAATAGTGGAATTACCGTTAGTAAGAAGTAAAACTGACATTTGCTCATTGGGGCTTAAGGTGCACTTGACTGAGACAGAGACTGGATTGGTAGTTCCCCAAGTTCATAAAAAGGAAGTGTTTTAGCCGGGCGCGGTGGCTCAAGCCTGTAATCCCAGCACTTTGGGAGGCCGAGGCGGGTGGATCACAAGGTCAAGAGATTGAGACCATCCTGGTCAACAAGGTGAAACCCCGTCTCTACTAAAAATACAAAAAATTAGCTGGGCATGGTGGCGCATGCCTGTAATCCCAGCTACTCAGGAGGCTGAGGCAGGAGAATTGCCTGAACCCAGGAGGCGGAGGTTGCGGTGAGCCAAGATCGCGCCATTGCACTCCAGCCTGGGTAACAAGAGCGAAATTCCGTCTCAAAAAAAAAGAAGTGTTTTAGTCAGTTATTAACTTAGCCATTTTACGGGTCTAGAAACTGTTAAGTTTGCTAGTTGTTCTTTCTCCTAAGGTGATTCTCTTGCGTTTTTTTTCCATTGAAGAATCAGCAAGATAGGAAGTACCCAGGACTGAAGGTTCATGGACTCAGAGGTCCATTACAGGAGGTATTTTAATGCTCACTCTGATATTTCTTACCATCTTTAAAGCCTTTGTATTATCTATAGGTCACAGAAAAATCCAGATCCAAACTGAACTTAAGAACTAGTGAGCAACAGAAGTGTAAGTTTTACTGTGTTAAAGGAAGAAAAATTTTTCTTCACCAGTCAGCAACATGGGGTCATGTTTTAAAACGGTCTCTGGATGAATGAATATTTTTACTCTTTCTTCAAGACCCGGTCCCTACAGTTGACAACCAGGGTAATTCTCCACCAATTCTTGGCTCAGCGCTTTACTAGAATTGCTGGCATTACCATAAGGAATCATTAGGGGGCAGAACTCCCACTCTGCCCATCAGACCCAAGACAGTTCCCTTTGTACTCCCACAGGCATCCCGTGGTACCTCCCCAACAGCTGCTGCTTTCTGTTGCCACACAACTCCCACCCTTCCAAAAAGAAAGATGTAGTTCTTTGAGGTTTTTTTTTTTTTCCCTCGAGATGGAGTCTAGCTCTTTTGCCCAGGCTGGAGTGCAGTGGAGTGATCTCTGCTCACTCCAACCTCTGCCTCCCGGGTTCAAGCAATTCTCCTGCCTCAACCTTCCGAGTAGCTGGGATTACAGGCGCCTGCCACCAGGCCCAGCTAATTTTTGTATTCTTAGTAGAGACAGGGTTTCACCATTTTGGCCAGGCTCTTGTCCTCGTGATCCACCTGCCTCGGCCTCCCAGAGTGCCGGGATTACAGGTGTGAGCCACTGTGCCCGGCCTCTTTGGGTCTTAAAAAGGTATAAAGAGTTCACTTTTAGTGACTTTGTCTGATGATTGCATCACTCAAGCTCTGAAAACGAATCCATGCAAGAGATTCTAGAAATGTTCCAGGCTATATTACTGGAGTATTTATTACTGAGGAAATGCCTTTGATAAGGACAGTGTTAGTAGCTTCAATACCTCCCTCACTCCCCAGTCGTTTGCAAAATCCAGTGAGTTTTGCTCCTAAATAACTCAAATCTGTAACCTTTCTTTGCTAAGATGCAAGCCAGCAGCCCCCATCTGGACTAAAGCCTTGGCCTCTGCACCCTCTCTAGGACCCCTACATTTCCTCATTCAGCAGCCAGAAAAATGTTTTTAAAAATGCAAATCTGATGTCATTTCCCTGCTTAAAACTGATCAGTGGCCTCCTATTTACCCTTAAAACAAGAACCAGAATCCTTACATGGTTCACGAGGCCCTTCTGCATTGCTGTCTTCTCAGCACCTAGCACAGTGTGTAGGAATTTAAAAATGTGCAGCTTTGTTAACAAATCACTTGATCCCCCGCCCCACACCCACATGAATGCACAGGTCTCTCCTGTAGCCTGGCTTCCTTTGCTAGAGGGAAATGCAATGGTTTTGCAAGGGCTGGGGAAGCAAGCACGAGCCAGTTGTCTGCAGCCAGGGTTCATTTTCTTAGTCTGGCCACTGCAACGATTGTTATCAGCAGGAACCTGTGGCGAACATCACTTTGCTTCATTCTCTGGCAACAGCTACCTCAGAACCCCAGCCTTAGATCTCATGTCCACACACTTCCCTGTACCAAACTCTAAGAGCCAGGTACAGGAAACCCAGGCTCTCCTGGGAAGCTGCATCAGTGGTTTTGGCGGGTCATACCGTAGGGAGAGTACTCATCACCGGGGGCCCACCCTGCACTACTCACGCAATTGGCCTCCAGCACTTCCGGCAGGGCTGTTGGAAACAGGACCTGTGGCAACAACTGGGAGTCAATGTTGGGCTGCTTCTGGCCACACACCCGGTCATCCTCACCCTTCCTGCCTCTTGCCACTCCTTTTAGGACTTGATCTTCAGTCCTAGGCTGCTGTGAGCCGTAGCAGGACAGAGCCCGACCATGTGCTCCCTGCAGCACAGTGCTCCTGTGCCGGCTAGGAGCTCAGCTAGAGTAGGTTGCATGAGTCGTGAGTTTTGGGTCAACATATTCCTACTAATAAGCACTGCTTACACCTGAGAGCTATTTCTGAAAGATTTTGTGATTTAGAGGGCCATGATGAATATGCTAAGAGTACCGATAAAATATGCTTCATAAGAAATAAATTAGACTGCCTCTTGCTAATGTTTTTGGAAGCTGCTCTCATCAAGTATCAGCAACTCTAGTGAAGCATGGTCAATCTGGAGATCTGAAAATTCAGACAGGCATTTGACTAATGTTTACTTTTTTGTTACTTATAAACCGCTGATAAATAATTTAAAACTTTATAAATATTATTACAATATTTCTGTTAAGATGGGATATACTATGCTTTGGTAACCAATAAATCTGAGAATCTCAGTGACTCACCCGAGCAAAGGTTTCTTTCATGCCCATGTCAAGATCCATCTTTTCTTTTTTTCTGAGACAGGGTCTTGTTCTCTTGTCCAGCCTGGAGTGCAGTGGTGTGACCACAGCTCACTGCAGCCTCGACCTCCTGGGTTCAAGCAATTCTCCCACTTCAGCCTCCCAAGTAGCTGGTACATGTACCAGCACACCCACCTGATTTTATTTTTTGTAGAGAAAGTTCTTGCTCTGTTGCCCAGGCTGGTCTTGAACTCCTGAGCTCAAGCGATCCTCCTGCCTTGGCTTCCCAAACTGCTGGGACTATAGGCATCAGCCACCACACCTAGCCTCATGGTCCATCTTGAACTATGCCAAGGGTGTTGGAGATGAAGGGCTGGGAGTCCCTGAAGCTTTCATCATACCTGCTTCTGTCTCATTGCCAGAACCAGTCTCGTGGCCCAAAACTGTAAGAGGGGCTGGGGAGTAGAGGATATTGGGTGAGCACTAACGCTATCTGCGACACTGATTACCTATCAGCATTATGACTAACTGCTACCCACAGAGTGCTTACTGTGGACCAAGCACTTTATTCACATCTTATTAATCTTCACAAAAATCCAAAGAGGTGGGTGCCATTTCACACATGAGGAGATTGCTGCTCAGAGCTGTGAAGAAATTAACTTGAGGAGGTTATACATGTAGACTGTCTAGTTAGCATCCTCACCAGCTGTCTGTTCCAAAGCCCATCTGGGTTTTTCCACTACACCAAGCCCAAAACAGTGTTACTACTTCATTAACATAGGTTTCCTCAGGCTTTCTGTATGTCAGTAGTTTGACCTGGTAGCTGTATGCATTTGAGAGCAATGCACCTGTATTTCTTTAAGCAGATTTGATAAGAATTATTCTCCTTCCCCTCATTGCCCTGCCAGTGGTGCGAAACTTCACCCACTACCCTCTCCTGAGCTTTTGGAGGTGAAGAGGTTAAAAACAGCTTCCTAGTGAAAGAATCTGGATTCAGCCACAGCATCAGAAGACTGTCTCAGTTCAATCACCTGATTACTACCTGATCACAATGGGTTTGAGTGCAGACCCACTGTGACAACTGTAGCCTCACAGACTTAACTGCCAAGTGCACAAGCTTCCTTATGCCAAACACTGTATGTCTTTGTGGCTTTTCCTCTTCCTGGGACCTGGTCAATGCAAATGATGGCCTTTTACCCTACTGGCAGTCACAGGAGACTAACATTTCCTTCAGGAATGCCTCTATTTGAAATGTACATGCAGGATGTTGATAATGTATTTTAGGGCCTTGATTATTTACCACTTGTACAAAGCATTTTATTTCACAAGGAAGCAGCTTGTGTTTCAATTCACAGAGACCCTGTGGCCAATGGTACTCAACCTTAGCTGCACCTTAGAATCCTCCAGGAGCTTTTAAAAATCCC